CTAACCTATAATATTAATCGATATATTTAACTGTAATATGTAGGAAAGTTGGTCAGAATTATTTCTTTGCATTAAGTGAAATTAAAATGTATTAATCTATTAATTTCAATTAGTCTAATGCAATTTTAAAATATTTGTTAAATCAAGAGAGAAATTGACACAAATATTATATCAAAATATAATTATAATTTTGTAATATTGGATGATAACGTTTTAATTTACTAATACTTTTATACCATAATTTCAATCTTAAACCATACTTAACATAATCAATTAATCATACGTAGACAAAATATAATAGAATAATTGAAATCATAATATAAAAAAAAAGAGAACTTATATCCAAAATGTAGAATTAAAAGTCCGAATTTAAAAGTCATCATGAATTATATTTCAATTGATTCCCATGAACTATAGTTCAATCAATTCCATAGCAAAGGGGTTGTCCCGTTCGTCGAAGCCAGGATATTGGCGCCACGTGGCTCTAATATCACCAGAACATCGTATATCCTCTCTCGATGGGCGACGCTCGTTAATTTACCGTAAAGATACACCGTAACGGTGAACAGAGGGCAAAAGTCCTATAACACAAGGCAAAGACAATCATTCTACGTTGGGGAGGGTTTTACACACAAATACTAATGTTATATGTAACTATTAAAATATCTAGCTAGTTAATTTATGAAGTAACTAGATATTACTATAAATATAACTAGGCTTTTTTTAATGAGAAACTATATAAAAATAATGTTATTATACATATTCAATTGTTCAATGGATTGGTATTGCTATTTCATGTAATAACTGGTTATTTCATGAAATAACAGATTTTATAAAATAATGATAATTTACTGAGTGATTTTTGGTATTGTTTAAGACTGCTGTTCTTTATTAAGTTAAAATAAACATAAATGATAGAAGAAAACATCTGCATTTTGTTCACCGTTATAATTGCAGGTGTATTACAAAGTAATACTTGGAAACGGAACAGGTATAATACGTTCTGACTTCTTGTAATCTTATTTTTTATGTGAATGCACCGATGCACTCGCCAGATACAATTGTATTTTCATTTTTAATCCAACGAAATATTTCTTTTCTTTAATCATTTGTCCCCTTTTATAATTCTGCATATAAAAGTAATTCAAGATCATCGAAATGTTAATACTTAACGAGATATGTTTTCATATGTTTTATTTTTTTTTTATTTTTATTTAATAAAAAGCAGTAGCCTGTTCCGTTTTCAAGAATCACCCTGTATACATTATCTTATTGTTAATGTGCAAACATATTCGTATACAGTAAATAAATATATACCTCAGCGTTATTTTGTTAAATTGTGGAAACCCTAGATTTTACCAGAAATAACTAGGCATTTTTGAAAAAGCATATAAAAATAATTATATCATAACCTAAAACTAATAGTTGTTGTTCGTTTCTATAAATTTTTTGTATTTTATTTTAGTTTTTATAATTTTCGAAGGAAACCTAATTTTATCCCTTTAATCGATAAAGAAACTCTATCCCTAGGTTAAATAACATTTACTTGAAAGCCTTGAAACAAAAAATTATATATTTTCTATCTCTGTACTTACAACAGTACAATATATTCAGATATTGAAACGAAATCGAAGAATAATATTTCTTTCCCTTAGGATCACAAATTTCAATCTCCTATCTTACCTACTCGTCACTTGTCAATTCACGTATTACCTAGTTAAAGTATACAATTCCTTCTCATATGATATTCAAACAGATCCAGTACAGAATTATTTCATGATTTAGTTAATCATATCACGTATTAACGGATTTCATCAAATAACAAAAACATATTACAAACATAAATAAATTTAAAAAGAAAACAAAAGAAACAAAGGAAGAGTGAAAGAGAGAAAAAGTAAAGGGAAAAATAAAACAAAAAAAGTAAAGAAAAGAAAGAAATGGAGGAACAGGAGGAAAAAAAAAGACGAAACCCTACCAAAAAAAAAAAAATATAGAAACAGAAAGAAAGAGGATAAAAAAGGAGATAGAATGAGAGAAGAGAGTGGTCTCGCGCGCGCGCGCGTTTGCTCGCGAGATTCTCGTCATTAGGGGTACGTAGCCTCGTTAGGATGAGTTTTTCCAGCGCTAATGAGCTTGCCTGCAGGTTGTCTCCATCGTTGCAGAGGGTCCGAACGTAGTATAGTATTCGCGAGCATGCGCCGTAGCACACGCCGCGTAGCTGGACCCTTCCTATGACGCCCCCGCATGAATCTGGAGAGAAAGAGGAACAGTAAGAGAGAATAAAAGAGAGAAAGAAAGAAAGAAAGAACAAAAAAAAAAAAGAAAAAGAAAAAAAAAAAAGAAGGATATAGAGCAGGACACTCGTTTTAATCTAGCCTTGGACGTTGCTCCCATTCTCCCGTGGTCGTCGCGTCCGTGGTCCGCGCGTTCCGACTTTGCGAAAATGAAAACGCATGTCTCCGTGGCTTTAACCCCTCGACTAGAGTACCTATCTCGTCTTTCCACACTACGTACGCATTACGTTTCTTCGTTACTTTCCCAAACACACACGCGCCTATCATTTTCCACGTGAGGATAATAGGAGTACTGTTGTTGTTCCTGTTTTAGAAGGGAGAAGAAGAATATTTATCTTAATTAACATATTTTCTCTCGTCTTTTTCACGTTTTTTCTTCTTTCTTTTTTTCTTTTTTTTTTTTTTCTTTTTGTTTTGGTGTTTTGATTTTTTTTTTTTTTTTATTATTAGTAATGTGTAGCTTGCTCTTATTTCTTTTTCGGTTTTTTTTTCTGATTTGATTTGCGCGTATTTCTGTTTTATTCAATTGTTAAGACTTTGTATTTCATATTGGTTTTAGTTCTCTTCAAGATTGTTTTTATCGGTTTAAAAAAATATGTATGGTAATTAATAGTTTTTTTCTTTCTCTTTTTTTGGTTTTTTTTTTTTAGTTTTTTATTAGTAATGAGGCTTGCTTATATTTCTTTTGCGATATTACTTAACTAGTATGTTTTTTCAGTTTGGTAATAAATTTGACTAAAATTTGATATTCACAATTAATCAATATTTTAAATTAATTTTGAAGTATATTTGCATCTTAATTAACAGATTTCTTCAGGTCTTGTTCAGTTTTTTATTAATGACGTGTAAGTTTATATTTAGCAATATGTTTCGAGTAACGTATATTTCAGTTCGTTAGAAATTAGATATTTTATTTTCTCTGTTTATGTTTTTTTTTTTTTTTTTTCAATTTTTATTACAAACTTATTAACTTTTTTCTGAAGTATAATTTGACTAGTTTAAATTTCGGTTTTATCGGATTTGTAAACAATTAAACTAATATTTAATATTAGCTCAAAATTTTTTAACATCAATGAAATTTTCAATATTTTTACTCAATTTTTAAAAATATAATATTGGAACGTTTAACGGTATTTTATACGTTCATTTACAGTTCCTTATTCAGATGCTTAAATTATATTACAGGTTGTTTGAGCATCTCTACGACCCAATTTAAATTCATATAACAAAATTATTCAAATTAGCTTCTTTTCTATCTGAAATTCAATAGCCTGAAGTTAGCACAAATTAACAATAAAAACAAAAGAATACCTACCAGCATGAACAGTGGCATCTGCGTTTTAAAAAAGTATAAACTAAATAAAATAAATTGTTATTTAATATTTCGAATACTTCTAATTTATTATTATTCAATTTAAATAAAATTTGTTGTTATTATTCTTATGATCGGACGGAAAATTTAGGCTACTTTAACTTACGGAAATATTTGTTATAAAAAGTTAGGTTATAAAGCTGTAAAAGATTGACTTGAAGTAGGGAACGAAAGAATGAGAGAAAGAAATTATGAAGTTGGTCACATTAGAAATGCATAAAAATCAATAATATAAAATTTCGTCCGAATTAAACAAAAATAATATAAAAGTTTTAGAAAAATTACAAACACACAGAGATTTTAATTTCCATTTTAATAATAAATATAAATGAAATTTCAAATCTTTTTACATATGTATTTTTGATATCCGTTTAAACACTTATACAATTCAACTTCATTTTAGCTATGAAATCATTCTTAACAAGAGCACCATAAACAATTTGTTAATACCTCAAAAATCAAGCAGCCAAAAGTACCAAAATCCAACAACCAACACTAATTTCTAACCAACATAATAAAAACACACCTAATCAATCTCAAAATAGTTGTCCAGATTTACCAAAATGACAACTCGCCGTACTCTGATGACTTTCCAATAAAAATAAATATAGAAAATAAAAATTCAATAAGATCATAAAATAAAATGTTTAAAAAATGTCCTAATATTCGTTGCCCGGAATTAAAGCAAAGAATTTACATCTTTCCAACGATCTCAGTGAAGTTACTCGAATTAAGAGTAATTCGAGCTTGGCCAAATTTGAGTTCTGGCTTCTTCGAGAAACTTCAATATTTTTTCTTTTTCATTTTTTTTATATCTTTTCCTCTCTCTCTCTCTTTTTTTTCACCCGAGCTTTCCCATTCCTCTTCCAATCCCATTCCACTATACCAAGCAACAATTTCTTTTGCTTCTCTCATTCCTCTGTCTTATTTAACACTGTAATCGAGTCTTCTGAAAGTGGCTTCCACCGAGTGGCGTACGACGTCGCCATTCATCCCGGTCGTCGTATGCTCGACGTGGTTAATTCGCAAATATTTCAGCATGTCTCTTATGTGTCCCTTTCTGAAAATACGCTACAGCTGCTCGAGTCTTGTCTACAAGTCTGTACGGGCCACCGACGCGGACATTTTTTTTTCCTTTTTTTTTTCTACGACTTTTCGACTTTTAGAAATTTCGCCAAAAATTCCTTGAATACGCGTTCAACTGTGATACACTTTAAATGTATTCGCGCGCGCGCATACGTTTTGAATCATCTTTTACGGTGAGGTCACATTTATCTCTAGCACGGACCAACCACGATTCTAATCCTTTTCCCTCATTATCTTTGTTACAGACGGCTTTGCATTGGGCTGCGAAACATGGCGACGAGAACATCGTCAAAATGATTGCTGGCACCTACAGGGAATACGTCAAGGACGTTAACGTTACAACTGTGAGTTACTTTTATATTTATTAAATGTAATAATTCATTCGGTGTGTACTTTTATAAACTACATTTTTTTTTTTCATTTATTTATAAAGTAATCCTATTCTTTATTATTATTTTTT